GCTTATACAGACCAGTTCTGATTTAGAGTAGGAGAAGACTACACTATGGCAGGACTCCAAGGAGAAAAGTATAATTGGGGCCATTCTGGAGGCTGTCTGTGACATTCATATTTTCTTTTCCTCCAGGGAAATTAGCACCAATAGGAGGCTTTAGCAATTGCAGACATTGGGACGCATGCTGGCTAGAGAACTCCAAAGAAGGAGGAAATAAACCAAAGGAAATAATGCTACAGCCTCATCTCTTTCCTATTCTGTCCTTGCACTCTCAGCTTAAGTCAGGTGAAATTTCTTATGGCTCTTCAGAACCCGCCTTGTTCTTCTTCCTCATTTTAAGGCCTACACACCTATGTTTTTTTTCTGTTTGGAAGTTCCTTCTCTCCACTTCAATTGGTTACCTTCCTCTGATAATTCAGGTCTTAGCTTAAACACCACTTCCTTCGGTAAACTTCCCCTGATTCCCTTAGGCTATCACCCCTGTGTGTATTTTGTCCCCTGTCAAGGATCTTATCCAATGTTTAAAAATCCAGGGATCCACAAGTGAGGGAGTCACCTGATAAAAAGGGATGAGCGAGGCTTCTGGTCATGTAGGCAGACATGGCTCACCTCTTTGCACAACCAGATCAAAATTACAACAAAACATAGAAAACAATCACTCAGAACATCAGAAATTGAGTTGAATAGAAGTCTGACACCTATGGAATTGAAGAAACGACATCCATCCAGACTGGTGGGAGGGGCATGGACACAGAATGGGCTGGTCCCACATCCACATGGATAAAAATTTGGGACAGATATTTTGGGAGTGAGGAGTCCCAGACCCACACCAAGTCCTCCAGCCCGGGATTCCAGTGCCAGGACGATAAGCCCCCAGAAATTCTGGCTATGAAAACCAGCAGGGGTTGATTCAGTGGAGGAGGCTGCTGGAGCCCTAAGCAGTTCCTCTTATGAAACCCTTACATGGACTCACCTACTCAGACTTACTCTCTTTGAGCACTAAGGTGGCAGCTTGAAGAGCACCAGTGGTATACAGGAAGAAACTGAAGTTTCTGACATTGGAGCAAGCAGACACCATTGTTCCTTTGCAGAGCCCTCCCCTTACAGAGCCAGTAGGCTGGTGCTATATGCGAAACTTTATCAAGTTGGCTAACACTGAGTGACCCATCTCGTAGATCCACAGAGGCTCTGCCTCACCCATCTTATGGGCCTACCCATGATGCTTTTCCAGAAGAATGGCTGGTCCTTGTTTCTAAATCCTATCAAACAAGCAACAGCTGGCTTCAGGGACCCCTAGTGGCAGCCAGATTAGAATCACAGCTTGGCTTCACCTGGGAATCTCCAAGCCCAGCACAAGAACCAGGCACTAAGGTTGCTTTATAGCTCAGTCAGGGTGCCCCAGATGAAACACAGGTGGGAGTTGATCTTGGCTTGTACCACCTGGGAAACCCCAGGGCCAATGCACCCAGAGGACAGCTAACAGTGGACAGCTACAGACCATGTTGGAGTACCACCACCCTTGCCTCTGCACAACTGATATACAGGGAGTGCAGAGATTGGTGGACAGTGATCACAGCCAGTCCTTGCAGCTGACTGGCCTGGGTAAATCCCTCCCATTGATGTACCAACAGCCAACCAGGCTCAACTACAAGAGGGTGTACTCAGCCCACAAAAAAGGTGCACCTAACCCACCAGCTTTGGTTATCAAAAGGCTGTGCCTCTGAATCCTATAGGACACCTACTACATTAGACCACACTACCAAGACATGGAATCAAAGTAGCTCTACCTCATACATAGAAACAAGCATAGGGAGGCTGCCAAAATGAGGAGACAGAGAAACATGGCCCAAATGAAAGAACAGATCAAAACTCCAGAAAAGAGCTGAATGAAATGGAGATAAGCAATCTGTCAGATGCAGAGTTCAAAACACTGTTTTAAAAGATGCTTAAGGAACCTAGTGAGTACCTCGGCAGCATAAAAAAGACTCAGTCAGAAATGAAGGATATACTAATTGAAATAAAGAATAATGTACAAGGAAACAACATCAGAGTATATGAAGCCAAGAATCAGATCAATGATTTGGAACATAAGGAAGCAAAAAACAACCAAACAGGACAACAAGAAGAAAAAAGAATTTAAAAAACGAGGATAGTGTATGCAGCCTCTGCGACAACTTCAAGAGGTCCAACATTCGCATCATAGGGGTGCCAGAACGAGAAGAGAAAGAGCAAGAAATTGAAAATCTATTTGAAAAAGGCAAAAGAAGACTTTTCTAATTTGATGAAGGAAACAGACATACAAGTCCAGGCAGTTCAAAGAGTTCCAATTATGATGGATGCAAAGAGGCCCACTCCAAGACACATCATGATTAAAAAGCCAAAGGTTAAAAATAAAAAGAGAGACAGTTAAAAGCAAGAGAAAAGATGTTAGTTACTTGGGGGTGGAGTGGGGTGGGAAGGATGGGTGAAGAGATGAGGGGATTAAGAATTACAAATAGGTAGTACTGAATAGCCATGGGGATATAAAATACAGTATAGGAAATGGAGTAGAGACAAAGAACTTATAACATGACCTATGGACAGGAACAATGCTGGGGGGATTGCCTGAAGGAGCAGGGGGCACTTGGTGAAGTGAGGCAAAGGGGGGGAATCAGGACAACTGTAATACAATAATCAATAAAAATATAATTTAAAAAACAGCTATGAAGCAAGGTGGAAGAAATTAGCATAGGTGGTCCCTAACTGAAGTTCTAAAGTTAGTTTTTTGTGGTAATAAGATTATCTTTATTCATGCTGTACAATACAGAAGCCACTAGCCACATGTAGCTATTGAAAACTTGAAATGCGGCTAGCATGAAGAACTGAATTTTATTGAAATTTTCATGAGCTGAATTTCCAATTTTATTTAATTTTTTAAATTCAAATTTAAATGCCCACACACAAATAGTGGCAACTGTATTGTCCCACACATCTCTTACAGAGAGAAACCTATCTGAGTAGAGGACAGGGCAGTGGAGAGAAATGAAAGCTAAGCTTTGCTGTATGGAGGGTAGACCCTCTAGATCTGAAGGGACCATGATAAACTAAATCCAATAGTAAGTGCTTGCTAAGTACTATTACAGCCCCCTGCAATTTGTAATTGAATTGGATGCTGTGAACAATAAAAGGGTCTAAAGGCACAAGGACTGGTTGTCTGATGGCAATATGGAGAGAAGTTTTTATTTGGCAGGGGAGGGGAGGGAAGTTTTTGCCACATTTGCCACCTGGGGTCAGGGTCAGAACCACTCTTTTAAGACGGTCAACAGTTGTAATGGTTTTCTCCAAATATGCACCTTTCAAGACAAGTCAAGAGATAGCCTTCTTTGCTCCTTCCCTCCCTTCTCTCCCTTCCTTCTTTTCATGGCTTTGTGTTAGGTGTTGAGAAGTGTTGACCCTGAGAGAGGTGTTGACCAGGAGGAAGAAGATATCAAGAAGAGCTCCTGTGGCAAACTGGGCTCAATTTAAAAGCAGAGCTTAGCTACTGTTTCTGAACAGGGACCTCTCATGCAAACAGAGAAAAGCATGTACTGAATTGCCTGCCTACAGGCTGAACCAACTTTTATAAAAGAGCTCCTGAAATTATATTTCAATGAATAGGACTGGGAATTTTCTTGTCTGATCAGAGTTGTGTAGCTATATCCTCTCATTAGTGTCTTTGCCTGACAACTTGCGAGCAGCTCCTTTCTGACCAATCGGGATAGTGCTTCTCGGACCAATAAAACTGTGAGGATTTGGAGTCCTCATCTGCATGAGGATGAACTAGGAACTGCCCTCTATACAAGTTAGGACCCCTCCGACTTTGGGAACCAATCCCTTTCCACCCAAGAGTGAGCACTGTGTTTCCCTCTGGACCAGAGCTGATCAGAGGTGTGTAGTCAGACAGGCACCTTGCAGCCCTGGTGTATCACAATTGAGCTGATTCCACTGAATACAGTTTGTCTTTACTGCACTCCAGTTGGTGGTTCTTATTGGCATTGAATTGGCACCAATGACCACTGGCTGACAGGAGAAAAAGGAATAATTTTCAGTATCTTTTCTTTGAGAAGCTCACAAACAAGAGTAGATAGTAAAAATGTCTACATCCTGGCTGGCAGCCCAATGTTCTGGGTTCTGGTGCTGTTTTTCCAGATGAGTTAGCTACACCTTAGCTATGGCCTTTGCAAAATGTCAGGTCTGGAGAGGACTTCAGGGGTCCCTACCCTCTCTAAACTTCCTGGTTGAGTAGGTAATGTAATCAAAGTCACAATGATGAAAAACAAGAGCTAGTTAGAGCTTACAAGTTCTCAAGTTCTAGGCATTGTGCTAAATGCCTCATACTTGTCATTTGACTTAAACCTTAACTGCTATTTTACAAATCTTCATTTTCAGGTGGGGGAAATTGCACCTCTGCTCCCTGAGATTTAGTTGAATTGGGCTTTGATTCCCACTGGTCCCTGTAAACTTTAACTTTGCCGTATACATTGCTTCCCCTCAGGGTGGGTCGGTACCAAAACGTTAGCTTCAGTCAGGGAGAGATTTTTGTTACAATTATTAGTAATATTTTAAGGCCTGTACACCTATGTTTTTTTATAACACTGAGTGTAACACTGAGTATGTTTTTACTGCATACTCTGACCCTATGTACACGCTCTCCTTTAATTCTCACAGTAGCTGTATAGGGTGGTCGATAGTAGTGCCCTTACTGTACATAAGGGAAAGTGAGGCTCAGTAAATTGACTATAGTCACTCATGTAGTAAAAGGCCGGGACCGAAAGCCAAGTAGTCTGCCTCCAAACCACTGCCCTGACCATTGCACTTTCAGATTGCTCAAGCACAAATGAGCCACCAGCAGGCGACCACCGCCAGCAGGAGCTCCTGGACAGCCCCACTGGCACGCCTCAGTCCGAGAGCGCCTTCCGGCTCCGGGTCGGAACGCAAGGCGGGCGCTAGGACGGCGGTGGGGAGCGTGCGCGTGGTGACGTGTCAGGCGCCATGTTGGAGGGCTGGTGGTAGCGGCTCGGGAGGTGGTCATTCTCTTGGTCTCGCTCTCTCACTCGCTTCCCCCGGCTCCCTTCGGTTCCCCCTCCCCCCGGTCGCTGGCTGGCCGGAGTGTGTACGAGGGAGGGGGAGGGTGTCAAGGGGTGAGAGAAGGCATTCCTGTCCCCGGAGACCCGCGGAGGGAGGCGGAGGCTGCGAGGGACTCCGGAAAGCCATGGACGTCGAGAGGCTGCAGGAGGCGCTGAAAGGTGGGGGTAGCTGTTCGCTCTCCCTTCCTCCTCACCCTCTGCGGCCCTCTCCTTTTCTGGACCGGTGGCTCCGAGGGCGGGGACTGGGCGCGGAGCCTTTGCGCTTCCCCGGCTCCCATCCCCCTCCCGCCTTCCTAGGCGTGGGAGCCCTTGGAGTAACTCCCTCCCTCCTGCTGTAGGCTTTGTGTCCGCCGCTGGCATCTAGGATGGGGGAGGGGAGCCGGAAAGCTTTTGCTGGGGCCCCAGCCCCGGTCCCTCCGTTTAGGGACTGTCCTTCCTTGAGCCCGCAGCCCCTTCCCAGGCCTGCTGGGTTTTCTGTCTGGTCCCTGCACGCCAGGCGTTGGGTTATAGAAAGAAGTGAAAGGTTTGGGGAGGGTCAGCAGAGCAACTTTAAATTTGTGTCTCCGGAATCCTCTTCCGGAGCTTCTGGAGTCGTCATTCCACCCTAATCCTGAAGTGGTCGCTTTCCAAGCAACACGCTTGAGTGGTTTTCAAACAGAGTAGCGTGATTTCAGCCTTGTGAGATTTATGCTTTGACATCCAGAATCATTTGGGGACGGCTACATGAGACGGCTGGTGTTTTTTTAAATGCAGATTTATGAACTTGACTTAAATCTAGTGGGGCCTCGGACGTTAATTTTAATCGGATTTTCAATGAAGCTGACGCTGGCGTTCCCCGGACCACACTTAGAGTAGTAACTTTGAATTAAGGATGGTTTGTGAACTGAGTGCTCTCTTTAGGAGGATTCTTGTTAACTACTATGAAGAGAATAAACACGTGGAAGTATAACTTGGAGAGTTGATGTTGAGAGGCTTTTTTTTACCTCTTCCTGTTCTTAATATAATGAACTGGGAGGAATTTGCTTTTAGAGGGCATTGGAAATGGTTGTTGGACTAATGAGAAATACTGCTAACTTTTGTTTCTTTCCTTATTTAGATTTTGAGAAAAGGGGGAAAAAGGAAGTTTGTCCGGTCCTGGATCAGTTTCTTTGTCATGTAGCCAAGACTGGAGAAACAATGTAAGTTGAAAACATGTATTTCTAGCTATAGACACATATGACATTCAGAATTGCTTGGGAAAGGGGAAAATGTATTTCAGAAGAACTGAATAATCTGTGTAAAGCTTCAAGCATTTAAAGAAGTTATTAAGTACATATACCTTATGCATGGCCTGAAATGAATTTTAAAAAATTGTTAAACTTTTAAAAAATACATATATTTAAAATATGTTTTAAAATATATATATTTTGGTGCATTTAGAACTTACCAGTCTGAAACAGCCAGAGAACGGAAGAATACTTACTCCATTTATGACCCTTTTTTGGCCATAACAGGGATATTTCCAGGATTTTGTGGTTTTCATTCTATTTCAGATTCTTTTGTTGGTAATAGTTTCTCATAATGTCCCGTATCCAACCTTTTGTTGTATATGAGGGTGTTTAAGGTGTCACATCTGTATGTTTTCTTGAGAACTCAGGGTGATTTTCTGACCAATTTCAGATGCTAGAGTTTTGACTGTCCTGTAAAATTTCTAGGATAGCTAACTTGGTACATGTGCTCGGCATTTTATTAGGCTTGTTTCCAAATGTTTTAAATCTGAAATGTATAGTATGAATTTCATTGCGATGTTGTATGAATAATTTGGGTAGCAGGAGTTCTTTCCACACTCTGGCAAAGTTAATTCCCTAGAGAGCAGTACAGTTTGGTGACTTTTTTGTAGTCTTGTAAGAAGTGGAATGTCTCTGGGCTCCCCTTCTTCTTGCCTATTTTAAAATTTTTTTCTGAGGTCTACTATAAAAATGTGAGCTTCAACAAGTGATGTATACTTTCTTTGGCTTTATTTGCAAATGCTCGTTTCTCACAAGATGTGCTTATGGTTGTAGTGTGGCCTAAACTAGCGTAATTTTAGAAAGGGAAAAAAAAAACCTCTTTGCTTTAGTTATCAGGTAGATAAGCTGAACCGCTTTAGTGCTTTATTAAAATTACCAGTCAATTTAAGAATGTGACTGTAATGTGTTCAATCTTATGTTTCCGTTTATTAAAAAATGGAACCATTTAGGAGGAAAAAATTCATTATAGTTTCTTAGAGCATTTGATTTTTAAACACATTCAAAATAAGTAACTGGTGTTCATACACATCAGCTTAAAGATGATTATGTACCAGCTTTCAAAAGTTAATTGATCTCTAAATCATAAATGCTTAGATTGCTACTATTTCTTTCAAATTGTTGATGGATCCGAACCTAATCCCGTTCTACAATAATAGGAGGAAAAGCATTTTAGTTGCAGAGTCAACAAAAGATTATATCAAACTATTTGGAGATAAATATAAAAACCTTTTCCATTATTCCACTTATTAGGTCTGTACAAACTGCCTTCACTTTTTGATAAAATAACATTGGCTGCAAATGTATAGTGGAAAGTTTCCAAAAGAAAGCTTTTTAATATCCTGACTGGATCACCCAGTGGCTAGGGAAATTTAACCCAATGTTTCTGAACAATTATTTTGTCCTTTTGGAGGTCTTAAAAGTGTCTCTGTCAGCCCTATATGTACATTTACATATTCTGTATTAAAATGATTAGTGGTGTTAGGTTGTCTTTTGAGTTTGGAAAATATGCTAAAGTAGTTTATCATTCACGCAGCTGATGTTTATACATTTAGTTTTATTATACATTTAGTTTTTGTTGTAAGGTTTTTGCTTGTGTTTTTTATAATCAACATGGGCATGCCTTGACTTTGATACTGAAGTTTGCAATTTATGGCTAACCTGATCTTTATTTAACTTTTGAGTTATAATAAGAGAGTGAAAATCTAAAGAACAGCAAGTCAGACCCCTGATGTTTTAGGATGGATAAGTTGCTTAAGATAAGAATTCCATAGTTCTGTTTTTATTTTCATTGATAAGGTGAATCTTTAACAGCAGCAATATTAGAAGCTTCGTTTGTGAGTGAAAATCAGTGATAGCTAGGCTATTTATTTTTCATTAAAAAAAATTGATTGACCTTTGTGGGGGCAACTTTGCCAGCAAGTCCCCCTGTCTGACACGGATAAAAGTAACACTACCAAGACATGATCTGCTTAGGGAGGAGAGGTGGTCAGTCTCTAAGAGGACCAAGAGCCTCTTCTTCAAAGGCTTCTATTAGGTTCAGAACACTTAGGAGTACAGGTAGAGCTCATCAATCAATGTCAGGCAGCAAGGATCAAACAGTAGATAACATTTCAAAAAAATCTGAGAGCTTAATCTGAGTCAGTGTCTCTCAAGTAAGGGGGTTGCAAAAACTTTGAGAGACATACTCATTTCCTGCTCAGACCTTTATTGTATGAATGAAAGCACTCTTAGCAAAGCAGGCTTCACAGGACTTTAGGAACTCTTTCTTATGCCCAATGATCCCAACCCTCCCCCCCAGCCACTCTACCCCCTGCAGAGGACTGCACTGCCCTCCCCCGTCTTAGGTTTTTAGGCTTAAGTGGATTAGAGCCAGGAAGCGCTTCTCCCAGGTGGAAATGAGGACTCAGACTATGTCAGAATAGCCAGGGGCTAGGGTCCATCACTCCCTCTTTGCTGCAGCCCCCCCTCCGCTGCCAAAAATAAGGTTTGTCTCCTTAGTGGCTCACATCCCAGGGTCACTCACTCAGCCTTATCCATGGGGGGCAGTTACAACTCCTGAAACCAGGCAGAGCAGTTCCCAACAGACCTTTGTATTTGTAGAGAGATTTTAGAATTATAAGAATGGGTTCTCACTTAAGAGGAGGGTGGTGGAAAATTAAAAAGCTTTGGAACAATTTTTCTTTTTGGTCTATTAAAGAACTACCTATAAACATCTAGTGTAGGAAGTTGGAGAAGATGCTAAAATATGAGGTACCAAGAGGAAGAGGGAGATTTTTAAAAAATCTGTCTGGAGCAACCCCAATTTGTTTTTGGCCACCTCAGAAATTGTTTTTATGTTGAAAAGGTTACTGCTCCAGAAAATGGGACACTTTCTTGAGCAACACTTTTCCAAAGGTCACAGTTTCTAACTTAATGTTATGTGCCGACAGATGAGGTGGGTTTAAAGTATGGATTTAATTAATTTGATGGGTTTTAGTTGCAATTTTTCTTTTTGAGGGTCAAATTATGTCAGCTTTGGCCTGTGGCAGCCTCTTCCAATTGATTCCAGAGTCTTTTGACTTTGAGGCCTAGTAGTTTCTAATAGCATCCTTATCTCTGATATGAGAGTTTTTCTAAGTTCATTTCCTCCCTCACACCTGGAACCAACCATTTCTGAAGAAACCCTGTCTTCTATCAGTGAGAAATGGAGTTTAAAGCCTACAATCTGGGTACTAGAGATGCTTGTTATTATTGAGTTGATAATTATTTCTCATCTCTTTAGTGGACTGAACTAGATAAAATACTTTCTGATTCGTGCTGATACTTAAAATTCAAAATTACAACTACAGGTTTTTGGGGTTTTTTTGTTTTGTTTTTTTTTAACTTCCATATCAAAAAATCTTGGTTCTCAAGGACATAGTAGTGTAAAGATATCCCATAATTACTGACTATATCTAACATTACACACCACCAGTATAACTACTAAGATTGTTAACATTTTTCTTACATGTATTCTCCCAATTTCTAGCTGCCATTTTTTTAAAAATTGTATCTACATATCTGAGCATGTAGCTCTCTCTCAGTTATCATTTATTCTTAGTTTTACAGCAGTCATGTAATGCTCACCACTAGCCCTTATGTCACTGTATCTAGCCTGGTTGTCTGAAGCTCATTCTATAGTAGATTCATTAGGCAGAGCTCATGGGAACAATATTTATGGAGTTCTTGTGTATTGTTAACATTTTGAGCCCTTTGTTCTTGAGGGTCAATTTGCAAATAAAATTGTTTCACATTTTTTGCCATTGAGTAGCTTAAATATGTTAACTTCCATTGTTTTCCCCAGCTTAAAAAGTTACTGTCAAAACCTGATTTTCTTTATTTTATAAACTACCTATTCTTTTTGCCTAGATTCCCAAAGGATTTTTTCTTTTTCTTTAAAAGTGCAATGATTTTTCTTAACTACGTCTTAGCAATTGGGATTTTGAGTATGTTCAGCATGTGGCATGCTTTTTCAATATGTATTTGTATTTACATTTGTATGTGTATATTTTCGAGTTTTTCAGTTTATTTCAGGAAAATTATTCACTTATTCAACATAATTATCTTTAGATTGATGCAGTGTTGTTAATAGATATCAACAGTTCACTCCTTTTCAAATTCTGAATATTTGTTTTATGAAAATACTACAATTTTTATACAGTTTTTTATACATGGATATTTGGGTTTCCTGGTTTTTATATTATAAAAAATGCCGCCTGCTGTGAACATTTGTGTACAAATCTTTGTATGGACACATGCATTCTTTACTTCTAGATGAAAACCCAGAAGTGGAATGGTTGAATTATATGGTATATGTATGTTTATTTCTTTAAAGAACTGCCAAACTTTTCCAGAGTGATTGTACCAATTTGCATTTCCACTGCATTATGCGAGTTGAATTCAGTTTTGCCACATTCTTTCTGGCACGTAGTATGGTGTCTTAATTCATTTTAGCTATTCTAACAGGTGCATGTCGCATAGTGGTTTTATTTTGTAGTCCTCTAATGACTAATGGTGTTGAGCATTTTCTCTTGTGTTTATTTGCTATTTGTATATCTTTGTTGGTAAATCGTTCTAAGTCTTTGCCCATTTTAAAACTGGGTAATTCTCTGATTAGGTTTTAGAATTCTTTGTTTATTATGGATACAAGTCTTGTATCCGACATCATTTGGTACCACGGTGTGGCTTGTCTTTTCACTCTCAGCAGTGGTTTTCAAAGTGAAAATTGTTAATTCCATTTTGATTTTACTAACTTAACAGAGCTCTTTCACTGTTTTGTGAAGTGTTTAAGAACATGGCAGTTTGCTTTCTGAAATTTCCAGGCTTTCTCTCTACTTCTACTTTCACTTGTACCTTGTCTTTTCTTCATCTTTATTGTTCTGTTTCTCATT